AGGCGGCCCTGGGGGCTCTTAGCTCCCCCCTGGGTTTCTGATCACTGTCAGTGGCAGGGGGCTTCTTCCTGCTTTCTCTTTTGCCTCCCTGCATTGTGCCTACATATGCAAATTAACAGCCATTTTGTTGTCAGTTAACTGCCATCTGAGTTGGCAGTTAATTTGCATATAGCCCTGATTAGCCAATGAAAAGGGTAGCTGGTACGCCAATTACCATTTTTCTCTTTTATTAGTGTAAAGATTAGCATATATATGTATATATAATATACACAGAGAGACAGAAACAGAGATAGATACAAAGATATGAAAAAACCTGAAGTGAATTCAAAGAGATGGGTTTACTGACAACTTTTTCAGAAATATATAAAGCATAAAATACCTCAAATTTTAAATATTTATATATATTAAACTTCTGAGGTTTCTCTTTGCTATCTTAAATAGTACCTTTTTTTTTGTTTGAACCTATGAATTATACACTAATCATGGAGAAACACCAAAAAAACCCACCAAAGTACCATAAATATTTAAACTATAAATTTCAGTGTTTTAAACAATGCCTGATTTTGCATATCAGCCCAAACATACTCAGCAAATAAGTGCCTGATCATAATGAAAGCATATTAAACTCCCTTTGGTTAAGGTGTGTGAAATATATATTTTGCAAATTAATAACCATCACTGGTTTACTTTTCTTTATTATTATTCAAGGTCCTTATTTTTCCTAAAAGTAAGATTTATAAGTTTAGTTTGTTTATAAACCATACTAGAGGCCCGGTGCATGAAATTTGGTCATGGGTGAGGTCCCTAGGCCTGGCTGAGCATCTGGCATGGAAGGGCAGGTCCCAGCTGACCTCTGAACCGTGGGCAGCACCTGGGTTCCTGGGCCCCCATGTACCCGCCTCTGCATGAATCACCAGGCCCCCGCCACTGGTTGTCATCTGTGGGGCAATCGGGCTGTGATTGCACCCACCTTGGTCTGGTGCCACCCACTCATCTGCTCCACAATCCTGCCGCAGTCCCACTCTTGTTGGGGCCCATCAGGGCCGTCAGTGCCTCCACTGCTCCCGCTACCAGCGAAGTGGTTACCGACACCCACTATGTTCCATGCTGCCCCCTGCTGGTCAGCACACATCACAGCAAGCAGTCAAACTCCTGGTCAAGGGGACAGTTTGCAAATTAGGCTTTTAATATATAGGATAATAAAACCTATTTGTAATATCCTTATAATTCTATTTGTCATGCTCATGCTATAATTGGTCATTCCATAAAGAAAATAAATTACAGCTTTGCCGGTGTGCTCAGTGGTTGAGCCTCAACCTATGAGACCTATAATCCAGGAGGGTAAGGGTTCAATTCCAGGTTGGGCACATGCCTGGATTATGGGCTCAATCCCTAGTGTGAGGCCTACAGGAGGCAGCCAATCCATGATTCTCTCTCCTCATTGATGTTTCTAACTATCTTTCCCTCTCCCTTCCACCTGAAATCAATAAAAATATATTTTAAAAATAAGAAAATAAGGTATAGTATATTACTGAAGTGTAACCTATACAAAAACCTTAATGACAGTTAATACCAATTTTTTATCTTATCACTAAAAAACTCAAGGACTAATGTATCTGGGAAAAATTAATCTAATGTTTGACTTCTAGGAATATGTCTTAATATTTTCCTTATACAAAATACAATTTTCACTCTGTTATCCACATAAAACAATCCCTAGTATATTAAGTCACTGGGAATTTGAGTGTCAACTAAAATCTACTCTATGTTACTGCTTCAATCTAGACAATTTCAATGTGTAATTAATGCCTTTCATTCTACCAGATTTTCCTGCTTGCCTCTGGGTGTGACCCATTTACATTATCCTTCAATTACTGAAGGTATGACAAGACCTATGATAAATATGACTGGTAGCTTTGTTTTTCTATGATAGTTTTAATTCTTGTATAAGGAAAAGAATTGCTGTGGGTAAATTATATTGTACATAACTTGAAAAGTCCTTCCTGGACGTTACAATTGAGAAATTTACCAGACAGAAGGAGTGCCTGGGGATTTCAATTTGCCTCCCTGACTAAATCACGGAAAACATGGGAAGTGCACATGATGCTGATTTTGGCTGATGGTCATGGGTGGCTTTTAGTCAGCAAGTGTAATATTCTATTCCTCAGAAGGTTTGTTCATACTTCAAATATGTAGAGCAAAATAATATCACAGAAAGACCTAGCATTTAGGTATGGAATTTTGTTTCTGCAAAGTGTAGAGTCCTGTTTCTTAAATATTGAGAATTTGCAAAATCACTCCCAACACGGGAAAATCCATGTTTTTAATGGATGTGTTTCCACTGCCACATAAGTGTGTATGATGGTCACAGTGGGGAATTGTAATCCACTCCACCATTCTTTTGAC